GTTCTGCCTGGGCAATTTAATTGTAAGACCCTGTTGCAAAGAAGAAAAAGGGCTAAGAACGTAGCTCAGTGGTAGAGTGCCCCAGGTTGCAGCCCCAGAGTCACAGAACCAAAAAGATAATTGAAATCAGGAAGTCCTGCTGATGATTGCTTTTAATTTATTTCAGTTACTTTTGATTTACATACTGCTTTTGGTGTGTGTGTGTGTGTATGTTTTTGTGGTGGTTTGCAGTGTTAGGTGCTTAAACCAGAGCTTTGCGTGTGGTAGACAAGCACTTTATCACTGCACTATACCTATGACCCTGTATCTTTAAATTTATATTTCTTGGGCCCAGGGATTTTAGCTCAGTGATACTGTTCCTACCTGGCAAGCAAAAGGTCCTGAGTTCATTCCCTGGTACAAAATATATATATATATTTCTTCCACATGTACTAATTTTTCTTCCCTTACCATTTTTTTTGTTAAAGGAAGTATATTATTTTTACGTTGAAATCGCTATAGTCTGAATTTAATTGGTATCTACAACCTGATGGTGTCAATGTTTTATTCTGTCCTCTTGTTTCCTATAAATTGATAAATCAGTAAGCCTGATTAGATCCAGCCCTCTACCACATCACATCAGGAGGTTTTTTTTTTTACTTAAATGTGTAAAAGTATACAGTATGATATGATGAACCATATACACCTGTGACCTGGCTTCAGCACTTAACAAGTCATGCTGGTCTTTCTTTTTCTTTATTTTGGTACCAGGGATCAAACTCAGGACCTTGTGTTTGCAAAGCAGGCAGTGGCACCACTGAGGTAAATTCCTGGACCTGGTCTTGTTTCATTTACATACCACATCCACTCCTCTCTCCTGTGTTGCTTTCATGCAGTATCAAGTCTATTTCTTCTTCTTCTTTTTTTTTTAATGGTCCCAGTATCAAACTCAGGCCCTTGTGCTTGTGAGGCAGACAGTGGAACCACTGAGCCAAATCCCCAGCCCTCAACTCTATTCTGTATTTGTTTATCTAAATTTCTTTTCAGAAGACTGCCCCATCCTCATTGCGGATTGAATCCAAGGTCTTGGGTGTGTTAAATACTTTGCCACTGAGCTGTATCCCTCACCCACAATTTTTTTTTGTGTGTATTAATTTGTCTTGTACTTTGAATCATACTATAAGTTCATATTCAGTAACTATTGAAAGCATAGAATCCTGGATAGGCTTGTTATGTTACATCTGATCACAATTAGGTATGTAATATGATCCTGACCTTTCGGGAGGTTTGGTATTAATAGATTCAGCATCCCCAATGAGAAAGTCTCAAATCCAAGATGTTTCATATTGTAATGCCACAACATAGTGGAAAACTAGATGTGAGGCGTCGCAGTCAAAATGCAGGTGCACTAAAAATATTTTATAAAATTATTATCAGGCTATTTGTATAAGATGTATATAAAACATCAGAGTGTGGTAGTGTGTGGCTGTAAATGCAGCATGCTGGGAGGCTGAAGTGAGAATCACTTCAAGTTCAAGGTCAGCCTGGGTTACATACATAGTTCAAGGCTGGCTTGAACTATATAGCAAGACCCTGTCTCAAAACAAGCAAAAAAGCTGGTCATGGTGGCACATGCCTGTAATCCCAGCACTCGGGAGGCTGAGGCAGGAGAATTGCTGTGAGTTCGAGACCAGCCTGGGATGCTACGTAGTGAGTTCCAGGTCAGTCTCAACTACATAGTGAGACCCTGTCTCAAAAAACAAAACAAGCAAAAAACTTGTATTGTCAAACAGTTGGACTTTATTAAAGATATAAACTATAATCAATATAAAAGTATGACTTTTTTTTTTGGTACTGGGAATTGAACTCAGGACCTTGCACTTGTGAGGCAGGCAGTGGAACCACTGAGCTAAATCCCTGGCCCTGATAGTATGACTTCTTAAAAGTGGTATGTTTTAGTCCTCTCCTTCCCAACTACCAGGTGACTTACTGGGGATGGGGATTGAACAGAGCTTTTGCACTGAGCTGCGTCCCCACCCCTTTTTTATTTTAAGACAGTAATTCCCTAAGCCTCTGAGTTGCCCAGGTTGAATTTGAGATTCTCCTGCCCTCAGCCTCCCATAGTGCTGGGATTATAGGAATGCACCATCATATAGTGCCCAGCAATGTTTTTAGTCATTCATTCATTTTTGTGGTACAAGCGCTCGAACTCAGGTCCTTGTGAGGCTGGTATAGTGCCACTGAGCTAAATCCCTGGCTGTTATAGTCTCTCTCTCTCTCTTTTTTTTTTTTTTGGTACCGGGGATTGAACTCGGGTCCTTGTGCTTGTGAGGCAGGCCACTGAACTGCTGAGCTAAGTTCCCAGCCTGTTTTAGTCTTTCAAAGAACTTCTTTCAGGAGGCCACATGAGTTTAAAGGCACTTAGTGCTATTTGTTCAAGGCTTTGTAACTGGGTTTTGTAACTCAGCAACTGCTAGGAGGATTTAGGCATGTAAAACCTTGGGGTATGGACTATAAGTAAATAGGAAGGAAAGAAGAGATGAAAAGAAAGAAAACTAACCAGCTGGGTATGGTGGCACATGCCTGCCTTCCCATCATGCTGGGAAGTTGGGGCAGGAAGATCACAAATTTGAGCCCATCCAGGGCAAATGAGTGAGATTGTGTCACAATAAAAATAAAAATGAGGCTGTGATGTAGCTCTTCACAAAGGTTCTAGGTTCAATTCTTAGTCCTGGGAAAAAGGAAAAAAACAGTAAATTCAAACGATGTTAGAAAAAGGGGTAGAAATTCTTTTATCTTAATTGTGAAGTTGCAATGTATAAGCAATTTATTCCTTGTGATGCAGTTTCAGAGGCAGCATAACTTAGAAATGAAAATCCTGGCTGTGGGATCAGATAAATCTGGTTTCAAACCTCTTGCTCGTGAAATGGATGGTTTTGGTCTAAAAAGTTAACTGCTGAGGCTCAATTTCCTCCAACACAAAGCAGAGGTGGGTGGTTAGACATAATGTAGAATGTTTACCATAGGGTCTGGTTCATCATGCGAAGTTCTGAAAATAACAAGTTAATAGTCATATTCTCTAAGGTTAAGAATTTCTCTCTTTGTGCTGTGTGTGGTAAAGAGTTACAGAATCAGAAGGTTAGAAATGAAAGGAATCTTAAGCCATTTGTTCTAAGCAATTATTTTCTAGATGAGAGAAGGTGAGGAAGGTAACAGTGTTGGAAAATACACAGGACCGACCTCAAGTAAAATCAATGTTACTTTGTTGAAATCAGAGTGCTAGACTTTGGACCTAAACTGTAATTCTCTCTTGAATGTTTTAAATTTTGGCCTGAGTGTTGTGACTATTTTATTAAATGAGAGTCTAGTTCTAGTGTTCCAGAGTAACTAATTTTTTATTTTTTTGAGACAGGGTTTGTAGTTCAGGCTGGCCTTGAACTCACTATGTAGCCCAGGCTGGCCTCGAATTTGTAGCAATTCTCCTGCCTCAGCCTCCCAAGTGCTGGGATTACAGGTGTGTGCCACCATGCCCAGCAGAGTGGTCAATGTTTATAAGGTAATGTTCCTAGTATTACTTAGGTCATTTCCAATAGAATAAGCCTTAGGTTGTATAGTCATCTGTCATTTTCTACAGGTTCCACATTTGTAGATTCTTTTAACCTTGGGTCAGAAATACTTGGGAGAAGATTTGTATCTATATTGAACATGCACATAATTTTTTCTTGTCTTTCCTAAACAATACAGTATAACAACAGGCCGGGGATATAGCTCAGCAGCACAGTGCTTGGTCCTGAGTTCGAGCCTGGCTACCAAAACCAAAATACAGTATAACAGCTATTTACATACATTTGCATTGTATTAGGTTTTTTATTTGGTTTGTTTGTTGTTTTTTTGATACTGGGGATTGAACTTGGGACCTTGCACTTGCGAGACAGGTGGCAGAACCACTGAGCTCAATCCTCAGCACTACATTAGGTATTTTAAATAATCCAGAGATGCATAGGTTATATGCATATACCATACTATTTTATTTAAAGAACTAGAGCATCCTTAAATTTTGGTGTATGTAGGGGTCCTGGAATCAACCTTCCAGGTTACTAAGGGATAATACTGCTTTGTAATTAAATTCACTTGAAAATGGAGTCCACCTTATTGGGTCTCACTTGATAGCCAATTTTTGTGTACTGCAACTTTCCAAGGAGGGAGTTGACAAGGAAAGGCACTGGTTGCACAGATCCTAATAGAATTGCATGTTATTTAGAAGTGAAAGTGCTTTAAATGATTTGGCTTATTTTCAGTTTTTTTCTTGCAGTTATAAACATATTAACTGTTTTTAGAGGCTTGGAAAAAATATAGGTGACTTGGTATCAGTGAACAACATTTAATCAGGAATAAACTATATTTAGTCTTTAGTTCACTAGTAATTGGTTACTTTTGGTTTAATGTTAGTCTTTTTTTTTCAGAAGGCTATTTTAAAAAATTGTTGTTACTATTATTATTTTGGTGGTTTTGGGGATTGAACCTAGGGAATGCTAAGCTATTTATATATATATTGATTGAAGCAGACTCTTATTAAATTGCCCAGGCTGTCCTCAAACTTGCAGTCCTTCTGCCTCAGCCTTTCCAGGTAGTAAGGTAGGGTCACGGGCAAGCGCCACAAGGCTCATCTCATCATGTATTTGATTTTGACACAGTATACATTCTTCCCACTTTTTCTTAGTCCCTCTCTATTTTGGGTCTTTGGTCTGGCCAAGCACAGACAGAGCTAACCTTCAGAGTCCATAAAGTAAGTGAGCCCTCACCATAGAGATCTGTCCTTTATTTGAATGCTATCATTAGACATTTGAAATTTTAGAATGTTCTGAGGCAGGATGATCACCGTGAGTTTGAGGCCAGTATGGGCTCTATTGTAAGTTCAAGGCCAGCCTAAACTATATAGTGAGGACCTGTCTCAAAAAAAAATTAATGTTTATTAATTTAGCCCATTGAAGTTAATAAAAATAATATTTAATTTTTTTCAGAGGTCGGAACAGTAGCAAAGGATTGCCTCAGTCTACGGTGAGTAACTTCATTGTTACCTATTTGAAAAAAGTGGTAGCTAAAACATGAGTTTTGACTATAGACCAAATGCCAACCCAAGAAAATTCTCTTGAATTTTATTCCAAATAATTTTTATACAGATCAGTAGTGTAGTATAAAATTATTATATGTTTTTTTTTTTGGTAATGACTTTAAATGTTAAAGTTGCCTGCAAATAGTATTTTTGTTACATGTAATAAATTATTTGTTCTCTTATAAATGATTAAAAGCAAATCTATCACTTCTTGGCCTTTTGGCTAAGATCAAGTGTAGTATCTGTTCTTACCAGTTTAAAGCAAAACTAAATGAGTAACCTCCAAAATAGGACAAGACTAGTCTGAAAAGTTTTGTGGTCTTTTTGTTTTGAATTAATGTGCTGTCTTAATTCCTTTCATTTTTCTCCATTGGAAAGGCCCTTCTGGTTTTAGGTTTTAGAACTTTATCAATAAATTGAAATGGACTTGCAAAGCATAAGGTAGACATAAATTCCTTGTGATTGATTAACTGAGAACCTGTCACTAATTTTTTAGTTTCTACCTTTTATTGGACGGATTGACTTTATAGGAATCAGGAGAACACACACTTAGTATGTAATGTATATATTATGGATTGGTATAGTAACCACATCTTTTCTTTCCTGCCCTGTCCTGTCCTGTCCTCTTGGCAGGCAGATGCTGTGCCGCTGAGCTACATTCCCAGCCCTTCTTTTATTTTTTTGAATCAAGGTCTCACTATGTAGTTCAGGCTGGCCTTGAACTCATGTAGCCCAAGCTGGCTTTGAACTTGCACAGTCCTCCTGCCTCAGTCTCCGGAGTGCTGAGATTACAGGTGTGCACCACCACATCTGGCTAACCTCATTTCTTTAAGCACACACTGATTCAGATATGCTGAATGAAATTAGCTAGGGTTCTTGTACAAAAGTGTGTCCTTATTCCCCACCTCATTTATTTCTTTTTGATACTGGGGATCGAACTCAGGCCCTTGCGCTTGTGAGGCAGGCGCCAGAATCACTGAGCTAAGTCCCTAGACCCCTCATTTATTTATTAATATGTACTTCACCCCTTTTAGATACAGGTCTGTATGGGTTTTTTTGTTTTGGGAGGTGGTTTGACAGTGCTGGGATTGAATCCAGCGACTCTTTACCCCTGAGCTATACTCCCAACCCTTCAAAGTACATATAATCCTGTAACCACCGCTACAGTCAAGATAGTAGAACAGTTTCACCATCCATCCAAATCCCTTGTCATTTTGGAGTGAACCCTCATTTCCTAAACATTGATTTGTTATGTCTCAATGGTTTTATCTCTTTCCTCATACAGTTTTTCTTACTATTTTTTTTTTTAATCATAGTCAGATTCTTAGTTTTTATGAATGATTTTACTGTTAAAAACCTTAACCTATTCTCTAAGGAAGCAAAAGATTATAGTAAATGAAATCTTTAATACATGTAGGTATTATAAACCTTTTTTTGGGGGGGTACTGGGGTCCTTGCGCTATAAACCCAATTTGAACAGAAGTAAAAGAAATATTAACTTGTAATGCATATACAGGTAGAATTAATTTGTAATAGTGCATTTTATTTTAATATTCCAGATTTCTTTTGATGGAATCTATGCAAATATGAGGATGGTTCATATACTTACATCAGTTGTTGTAAGTTATGAGATTATTGGGGATAAATTGCTTTGGGTGGAATAAAATAATTTCACAAAGTTAAAATGTTAATGAATGATTCTCAAAATGACGTGTTAGATCATATTTAATCAAGATAATTTAGAAAAATTACATTATAACTATTGGATCTGTTATAATTCACTGTATGACTATTCTTGTTAACTCTGCAATGCGTAAAATAGTGTTTGAGTTGTCTTTTGTGATTATTTTCGTCTAATGGAAATGGGGGATCGGAAATGTTTTGTTGGGCTGGGTATTTAGCTTAGTGGTGCCACCACCTGCCTTGGAAGTGCAAGGTCCTGAGTTCAATCCCCAGTATCAAAAGAAAAGAAAAATGTTTTGTTTATAGTGCTGGGGATCTAATTGTTTAATATTTAAATTCATACCATACATTCTGAGTAGAGCCTCTTGAAGAATTTTGAGAATTTAGTGTATTTTAATTAATTAATTAATTTTTTTTGGTACCAGGAATCAAACTCAGGGCCTTGAACTTGCCAGGCAGCTACTGTCAGTATATTTTATTTTGAAGTTTTCTGTCATTCTGTTAGGGAACACCTAATATGGAACAAAGCCTGATGAATTACAAATCTAATATGAAAACAGTTTCCCTGATGAGGTAGATAATTGTTTCCTTAAAAAATTAATTGTATGTTTTTAGGGATCCAAATGTGAAGTGCAAGTGAAAAACGGAGGTATATATGAAGGAGTTTTTAAAACATACAGTCCTAAGGTAATTTTTACTCTTCTTTTTTATTAAGGTAAATAATGTATATGTTTATATCTCTTCCTAAATAGTATCTGTTACTTTCTGATCTGTCAGTTTATAGTTATGAGCTGAATATTTTTGTCATGGTTAAATTTGTATGATGGTTTTTTCTATAAAGTAAAAGAACATTTTGAGCCAGGTGTGGTGGTGCATGCTTATAATCTCAGCATTTAGAACACTGAAGCCAGGAGGATTGTTAGTTCAGGGCTAGCCTGGGCAATTTAGTGAGACTCCATCTCAAAAAGGAAAAAATAAAAAGGAAAAGAAGGACATGGTGGAGAAAACCTGTAATCCCAGCACTTGGAAGCTGAAACAGGAGGATGGATCACTGTGAGTTCAAGACCAATTTTGGCTGCATACTGAGTTCAAGGCCAGCCTAAATTACAGAGTGAAACCATGTCTCAAAACAAACAAAAAATATAGCTATGTGCTTTGTCTTTACCTTAAATTTTGTTTGTTTGCTTGTTTGTGTTTTGTTTGAGACAGGGTCTCAGTGTGTGGCCCAAGCTGGCCTTGTGATCCTCCTGCTTCAGCCTCTTAAGGGTTGAGATTACAGGCATGTACCACCATGCCTGGTCTTACCTACTTTTAAAAATCAGTTTTAATAGCTGGGCATGGTGGTTGCACACCTATAATCCTAGCACTCTGGGAGGCTGAGGCAGGAGGATCGCTGTGAATTCGAGACCAGCCTGGGCTACATATTCAGTTCCAGGTCAGTCTCAACTACATGTGAGACCCTGTCTCAAAAAACCAAAAAAAACCAGTTTTATTGGGTTTGGGGATTCATTCAACTCAGTGGTGTTGTGCGTGCCTTGCAAGTGCAAGGTCCTGAATTTGGTCCCTGGTACCAGATAGAAAAACGTCAATTTTGCTCTTCTGTTTCGATTACTGATTGCAGACTGGTTTGCATAATTGAAGAGATTTCTTTTTCTTTTTCTTTCTTTTTTTTTTTTTTCTTTTTTTGGTACTGGGGATTGAATTTGGGACCTTGTACTTGCAAGACAGGCATAGCACCACTGAGCTAAATCCCAGCCCAAGATTTCTTGACTTATGTGTTTATTATTATATTTTAGTTGCTTGCTTGCTTTCTTTCTTTTTTTTTTTTTTAGACAGGGTCTTACTATGTAGTTGAGACTGACCTGGAGCTCACTATGTAGCTCAGGCTGGTCTCGAACTCAGCAATCCTCCTCCCTCAGCCTCCCGAGTGCTGGGATTACAGGCGTGTGCCACCACGCCCGGCTTAGCTGCTTTCAAACATTGTGAACTAGAAGAAAAACAGGGTGGTTAATTTTCCCTCTTTTTGTTTTTTATTGGTACCGGGGATCAAACTCAGGTCCTTGGGCCTGCTTGCGAGATAGGCGGATCCACTGAGCTAAATCCCCAGCCCAATTTTCCCTCTTTTTAATAATTATTATTGTACTTAAGACAGACCATAGCAAACTTTAGACTTGAGGATTTTTGAATGATAGAATGGATCATAGATCACCTTTCTGAAAAAAAGGGCATCATTATCAGATTCTCTTGAGATAATGATCTTTGCCAAAGGCATATAAGGGATAACAATTAGATGAGATGAAGGATTTTTGTCAGATTTTATTTTATAAATGATTTTAATATTTACACTTATTTTTTAGTGCGATTTGGTACTTGATGCTGCACATGAGAAAAGTCCAGAATCCAGTTCGGGCCCAAAACGTGAAGAAATAATGGAGAGTATTTTGTTCAAATGTTCAGACTTTGTTGTGGTGCAATTTAAAGATATGGACTCCAGTTTTGCAAGAAGAGGTGGGCTTTTATCTACTAAGTATGTCTTGTGGTTTAATGGATTTATTCAAACAGTGATTCTCCATAGTGCTCATGTGGACTTGTAAAAAACAAGAAATATATGCTTTCTAGAGTAATAAGATCAAGGCAGGTTTTAATTTAGAAAAATGGAGATTTTAATGCTCTTTTGGGGACAGTGTTTAAAACTTCAGAAAAATATTACTTGGTACTTTTAGCAGCAGAAATAATGAGTATATGTGTTCTTTTTAAAATAGTTTACAAAGGATTTTCTACAGTTTGTTGGTAAAGAAATCCTATTGATTATATACTCAGTACCATTTGGTCTATGAAGCTTGAATTTTTAAGTGAGCCAATAAGTCTGAGAAGAAATTGAAGCATAGGAAAAAAGGCAGAGAACTATGGATGGAAAGCACTTGTTTAATGAAGATTAAAAAAAAAGATAAATAAAATATGAGCCAAGCATGGTGGTGCACACTGGTAATTTTAGCACTTGAGAGGCTGAGGTCAAGGCCTATCTGGGCTAATAGTGAGTTGAAGACTGGCATAAATTACCTAGTGAAACCGTCTCAAAAAAAAAAAAAAAAAAAAAAAAAAAAAAAAAAAAAAAAAAAAAAAAAAAAAAAAAAAAAAAAAAAAAAAAAAAAAAAGAAAAAAAAGAAAAGAAAAGGGCTGGGGATTTAGCTTAGTGGTTCCACCACCTGCTTCACAAGTGCAGGGTCCTGAGTTCGATCCCCAGTACCAAAAAACAAACAAAAAACCCCAAACCCCACCCAAATGGAAAAAACCAAACAAATACAAAACATGACACTTTGATAGTAGTGAGCCTTATTGATGAACATTTTTTTTTTTAAGCCAGGTGTGGTGGTACACATGTGTAAGCCAAGCACTGGGGAGGCTGAGGCAGGAGGATTGAAGCAAGTTCAAGGGTATCTTCATCTGTCTATTAATAGTAAGTTCAAGGCCAGCATGAACTATTTTGGGGCTGGGGATTTAGCTTAGTGGTGCCGCTGCCTGCCTCATAAGCGGATGGTCCTGAGTTCAGTCCCCAGTACCAAAAAACAAAACAAAACAAAACAAAACAAAAAAAACCTATTTGAACTACAAAGAAAGTAACAATAGAACTCTACAACAAAAGTAATCTTTGCTTCAGTTGTCACACTCAAGGCAGTTTTCACACATGAAAATTGCATGTTCTGTGTGCAATTATTGCTGATACTGATAACACGTGCTTTGTTCTTCTACCTATCTTGCAGGGGACAGCTGACATCTTTTTGGTTTTCCTATTGTTGTAGTATGTCTTTGGGATGCTGCACCTTCCTATTCACCTGTCAGCTCACCAGTGTGCTCCACAATTTTTTTGGCATAGTTCCCTGGGCAGAAACATTTTGCTTTTCTTCAGTTGTAAATGATTTTAGGAGTTCCAGTCCCAGTCTTCTAAGAAAATTTCCCTGTGGTATCTTGGACTTCTTTTCTTTTTTTTTTTTTAATTGAGTTTATTGGTACAATCTAGGTCTACAGTACTGTTACATTCATTCCTGTGATCCTGTACCTTCACATGACAGGTCTTGGGTCTCATTTTTTCCCCTTGTACCTGCCCTCCCTTCACCCCCTCCTCCCCTTCCCATTAACAAACACATTTCCATTTTTTCATTTTCTCATATTTTTTCTTTTCCCTTATTTCCTTGCCCCTACCCTTCCCTCTTTCCCTACACCTTTAGCCCTTTTCTTTCTATTTCACACTCTTAATTATCCCATTAGGATCTTGTGTACTATTGTAGTTTTTCACACCAGAGAAACTGTTCGGTATTTACACATGTGTGACTTATTTATTTCACTTAGGAGTATATCTTCAATATGTATCCATTTTCCTATGAATGACTAATTTCTCATTCTTTATGGCTGAGTAGTATTCCATTTTATAGAAAAACCACATCTTCTTTATCCATTTTCCAGCAGATGGGCAGATGGGCTGTTTCCAAGATTTAGCTATTACAAACTGTGCCACTATAAACATGGGTGTACATATATCACTGTGGTATGATTCTTTTAAATCTTTTGGAAAGATACCCAGCAGAGGGATGGCTGGGTCAAATGGAACCTCTAGACCTAGCTTTTTGAGGTATCTCCATATTGATTTTCATAGTGGTTGCACCAGTCTGCACTCCTACCAACAATGGAGCAGGGTTCCTTTCTCCCCACAACCCCGCCAACATTGGTTATTGTGTGATTTCTTGTTAGCAGCCATTCTTTGTGGGGTGAGGTGTAATCTCAGTGTTGTTTTCATCTGCATCTCTCGAATGACCAGTGATGTGGAGCATTTTCTCATATATTTACTTGCTGCTTTTACTTCGTCTGAGAAATGTCTGTTCATTTCAGATGCCCATTTATGAATTGGGTCTTTATATTTGGGGGGGCTGATTGTTTTGAGTTCTTTATATATTCTAGATATTAGTCCTTTGTCTGAGGAGCATCTGGTAAAAATTTTTTCCCATATTGTAGGTTGTCTCTTAGTTCTGCTGATGGTTTCTTTTGCAGTGCAGAAGGTTTTTAATAGGATGAGATCTGCACTTACTTTCTTTGTAAACTATTAAACTATTTGTACCACACATGCTTAGGATCCAGTAAAACACAGCAAATGCTTTGTGTTTTGAGTGACATCATAGTTGTTGCATAACTCATCAATAACATCTACTCCGCTTTTGGTTTTGTTGTAGAAATTTTCCATCTCGGGCTTCTGTTTTGAGGTTTCCCTATCTATATTTCTATCACGGTGCAGTGTTGACATCAGCAGTACCAGTTTGCTTTTCTTTGCCTTATAGGAGACCAGTGGAAATCCTTCTGAAATCTAAAGATTGTACTATATAATTGTCTGTTTTGAAATTGCAGCATTTCATTTGGAATTTCTCTTGTTCTTGCATATAGTTCCTATGCTGGTCAACTTAATGTTCTGTTAGCAAATGTAATATTGATTGGAAACTGGTAAACCAGTTCTTGAATGTCACATTCTGATTAGTTTGGGAGATGGGAGCAACAGGTCTGTTCAAAGCATCATTTGGTTATTACTATACAAGTAAAGACCTGTGGCTGAGTTCCACGATAAATTTCTAAATAATTGAAAGCATAATAAGTCTTCACATCTACAAGGGCATATGTTTTTTTGCCACATTTTGAAGGATTTTTTGGTATGTGTTCTCTGAAGCTACAGTGACCAGAATACTGCAAGGAGTTCATCCGTGGTTATGTATTTAGATGGTGTGTAAATTGCTTGGCAGTTACTCATAAATCTGTCAAACAGTGACAGGTTAACAGCCAGATTATCAGTTCTTTTTCTTTCTTTGTTGGTGGTTTTGTCATCAAGTCCAGGCAGTTTTGAAGGAAACCAAATCTCCTCAGTGTTATTGTTATTCTATAGACCTCAGGCCACACTCAGCTTTTACAAAAGTCATCATCATTCCTGCAATTACCATGAGAAAGTCTGCTAAATACAGCAGACCTATGAATACTTTCAGTTCAGCTAGTAAGGTGTCATAATAAATAATTTCTGAGTATGGCTATTGTTACATACAGAAGGTTTGCTTTAGCTGTTGTATTTTTCACAACATCTTACAGCATTTCATCTATTACAGTCCCCAACATTGAATGGCAGAACTGGCATTCTATACAATGGGCTTGACACCTGCCAAGATTCTCACTGTATTTTCGGACCTAGTACTAACATTGAATTGCTCCATTTGATTGCATGATCATTTTGCAGCATTTTGACTAATCAAATATACACTTACATTCCTGTTTTCTTCGTTATCTGAATCAAGGAGATCTGTATTCCCTTTGTGTCAGTGAATTATTGTTCCATTTCACTGTCGCAGGAACTTTAGCTCACATGGCTAACATCAAAGTCACCATCATCATCCACCCACACCACTATTCTGTTATGAAAACATGTATTTTACCATAATGGATCATCTTCATTGTCCATGTATGAGTGATCTCTGATGACTCACTTTTGACCTCCTCCAAAACTTGCACATCTGGTTTTACATGTGTGATTGTACTGAATTGGGCTACTTCTACTAGAAAAATCAAAAGAAAACTTCTTTTAAAAAAAATCCTAGTGTAGTGTGGGGTATATTATACCTTGAGTGATGCTCAGGTAAACATATGCAAACCCTGTGAGGCAGAGCGTAATGTGTGTGGAAATCCCAGTTTGACACTTTTGCAGAGGTGCACACAACTTGCCATTTGTACCAAGTGGGTGAACACAAAGATTGCTTCCTGTTGTCCCCTGTGAAAGGTACTGAGATACATAGCCAGCTACTATTATGTTAAAAGTACAAATTTACTGTAGAAAAGTATGGAATGGGTATATTTAACCCACTGTAATGCCTCAAAGGTTAGTTAGCTTGCCTCTTCTGAGGCTGATTGGGACAGGCACTCCGTGCTCTGTGACTGCTTGGAAATGCTGTTGAAAGCAGAGGGTCTGTCTGTGTCTTTATTCACAGCTTTTTATCTTAAGATTCCTTTAGTAACCCAAGAATTGTCTTTCCTTACTCTCTTGGAATTGATGTTGTTTGTGCCTAGAAACAAACCAAATTATATTTATACTTATACTTCTGAAATATTTCATGGTTTTAAATTTTAAAATTGAAAAATAAAAATAAAATTGTAATTCAGTGTTATATATAGCACTGTGAAAACAATATTGACCTTAACAAAAGCAGTATTCCCTTAAATGTTGGATACCAGTCTGTTTATCTAACAGCTGTTTGCAGTATGTTTTGAGGGCTGTGTTTTGTTTTTTGTTTTTGTTCTTGTTTGTTTCTGGGAATTGAACCATACTAGGGATGCAGTCCACCACTTATATTACCAGCCCTACTTTTTGTGGTTTTTATTTTTTTATTTTTTTTTTTTGTGACAAAGCTTCGGTATGTAGTTCAGCCTTGCCTTATACTCAACTATGTAGCCTAGGCTGGCCTTGAACTCAATGGTAATTCTTTCTCAGC